TGCTGACCTCCAGTGTGATCCCTGGCACCACATGGCTCCCTGAGTAGTCAGGTTGGCATAGGTGATCCCCAGCATGGGGCACTTTCATTGAATCACCAGCCTGTTTGTCTAAGAATCACCAGGAATGACCTCTTGTGCCCCCTGAACACTACTTGGGACTGCTGCCCCCCTCCTCAAAAAAAAGAGAAGAAAATGAAATTAAGAATATATATCTCAGGGTCAGAGTGATAGTATGGCAGGAAGGGCATTTGCCTCACATACAACATACAGCTGACCTGAGTTCGGTCCCTGGCATATGCCATATACCCATATAGTTCCTGAGCACTGCCCTGAGCATCACCAGGTGTGCCAATATTTGTATTGACTTTTTGGGTCACACCCAGCGATGCTCACACACACACACACACATATATACACACAAATATGTATATATGTGTATGTATGTGTATATGTCATGGGACCAAAATGATTGTACAGCAGGTAAGGTGTTTGCCTTGCATGTGACTGACCTGGGTTCAATTCCCAGTATTCCATATGGTCCCCTGAATCTGCTGGGAGTGATTCCTGAGTGCAGAGCCAGGAGTAAGCCCTGAGTACCAATGGGTGTATCTCAAGAAAAAAGGAAAGGGGGGAGAGAAAGAATATATCTCTCAATATAGCAAACTGTTACTATCCAGTGCACATTTAAAAAAAAAAAAACTTAAAAATTGGGAAAGAAAGACTGCAATAGCAAAGGATAAACAAGGGTGCATGAGGGAAACCTAAAGTCTGGTAAATAGAAGGAAAGATGCTCAGTGTTTTTAGCAGTGAGGGAAATGCAGAGTAAAGTCACAATCAGAGGGCTGGAGTGATAGCACAATGGGCAGGGCATTTGCCTTGCACGCGACCGACCCGGGTTCGATTCCCAGCATCCCATATGGTCCCCTGAGCACCGCCAGGAGTAACTCAAGTGCAGAGCCAGGAGTAACCCCTGTGCATCACCAGGTGTGACCCAAAAAGCAAAAAAAAAAAAAAAAAGTCACAATCAGATACCCTCCACACCCCCGGAATGGTTCAAACATAAAGAGCTGACAGTACCAGGTATTGGCAAGAATGTGGAAAAACTGGGACGCTTGTGCATTGCTGCTAGGACTGTAAGTGACACAATAGCTTTAGAAAATTATCTGGCAATTTTTGCTTAAGAATTGGGCTTGGAGCCACTCCTGGTTGTATTCGGGGCTCCTCCCAGCTCTGTGCTTGGGAATCACACCTGGTGGTGCTTAGGCGTCATGTGATAATGGGATCGAAACTGGGCCTCCTGGGCCTCCTGGGCGCAAAGCGTGTGCCCCAGCTGGTTGAGCTAACTCTCTGGCTCCATCAATTTGACTATGTTTATTATTTTCTCCCTCCCTTTTTGTTTTGCTGTTGATGTTTTGTTGTTTCCATGAATGGGGTCGCACACTTGATGCTCACATATATATGGTCTCAGGACCAGAGACAATTTGGTCATGGCGCTGGGGATCCCCCAGTGGGGTGCTTTCTAGATCACACCTGGCTCGTGGGGCTGTGCTGGAGAAGGGGACATTCATGGGCTCATGCCCGCAAGGCTGCTGTGCTCCTCTGAGCTGCCACCCTGGCAAGCTTGATTAAGGAGCTTGGTTTGTTCTTTATGCAGTTCCCTGGATCAGATCCACAGCCTTATGTTCCACTACCAGAACTACAAACCTGGCTCCAATTTGACACATTTTAATAAAGTTAGACATACTCTAATAATCATTACCAAACCATTAAATTCATAGAATTTTCTAAGAAAGTAAAAATACAGGTCTAGGGGCCAGAGCGATAGTACAGTCAGGAAGGCGTTTACCTTGCACACAGCAAACCTGGGTTATATCCCCCAGCATCCTATATGGTCCCCCAAGCACTGCCAGGAGTAATTTCTGAATGAAGACCCAGGAATAACCCCTCAAAATCTTTGGACATGGCCCCCAAACAAACAAAATATATACATAAAAGAAAAAATACAGGCCCACAATAAGATTATATATATATATATATCCATAAAAGTTTTATTATTTTTTTCTTTTTGGGCCACACCCTGTGATGCTCAAGGATTACCCGTGGCTCTACACTCAGGAATTACTCCTGGTGGTGCTCAGGAGACCATATGGGATGCCAGGAATCAAACCCAGGCCGAATGCATGCAAGGCAAACACCTTATCTGCTGTACTATCATTTCGGCCCCAGTAAAATTTCTATTTGTAATAATGAAAACCTGAAACAACTCAAATGCCTGTCCACAAATGCATGAACAAATAGAAATTGTAGTAGATCCCAATGGGATATTACTCAGCTTTTGTTTTATGGGGACTACTAATAAATGTGACAATATGGGTGAATCTAGAATTATTATTCTGAGCAATTGAAGCCTTAGAAAATATGTATTAGATGGAGCTGGAGAGTATACAGCAGGTAAGGCGCTTGTCTAGCATGCAGTTGACCCAAGTTGGATCCCCAGCATTTCATATGGTCAGGAGTAATCCTGAGTGCAGAGCCAGGTGTAACCCCTGAGCATCACCAGGCGTGGCCCCCCTGGATGAATGTATTAGATTATTCCATTTATGTGAATTTGAGACCAGGACAAACTGTGTGCTGATAGGAGCCAGGACAGTGGCTCTCAGAGGATGAGGTGGTGATGGGATTGACTTCATGAAGGAACTCTCTGGGGTGATGTACACATACACCTGCATTAGTATATTTAAGAGGATAGCTCTATAGTTTATCTGTATAAAGTGAATAGTGTTGTTTGTCTTTTTTGGACAAGGAGATACATTTCAGTGCTCAGTTTTTGACTCTGTGTTCAAGGTGACCCCTGGAGATATTTGGGGACCCTGTATGGTGTTAGGGATTGAACTGGGGTCAACTGTGTGCAAGGCAAGTGGGCTTACCTCTTGGACTAGCTCACTGGCCCTAATGTCTATATTTTATATGCACCAGCATGTACTTTTTTTGTACTATTAGGTTTCTAGTATCAATTCTAAACTGTTTTGTTTTGTTTTTTATTGTTCTTATTTGGGGGGCATACCCGGAATGCACAGGGGTTACTCCTGGCTCTGCACTCAGGTATCACTCCTCTGGCAGTGCTTGGTGGACCCTATGGGATGTCAGGGATCAAACCCAGGTCAGTCACATGTAAGGCAAACACCCTACCTGCTATACTATGGCTCTCACTGCTCCATCCTTTTCTAAAACTTGATATTTATCATTCATGAATAACATGAATATAAGGGACATTTTGTCATATTGGTAATATTGATATAAATTGTAGTCTTAATTGTGTGGTGATACTTCATTGTATGCATGTGCCCTGGCTCATTTATTTGACTCAATTTATTTATTTATTTATTTATTTATTTATTTATTTATTTTGGGGGGGAGGGTCATACCTGGCAATGCACAGGGGTTATACTCCTGGCTCTGCACTCAGGAATCACTCCTGGCGGTGCTCAGGGGACCATGTAGGATGCTGGGAATCGAACCCGGGTTGGCCGCTTGCAAGACAAACGCCCTACCCGCTGTGCTATCTCTCCAGCCCCAATTTATTTATTTATTACTGGACATTGGGTTTATTTTATTTTTTTAAAATCTTAACTACTATAAGAAGTATGGCAGTAATGCTTTTTGCACGTAATGCATAAACTTTCTTGAGATAAAGTCTCAAATACAAACTTACAGGTAATAGCAATAGATTTGACCAAATTTCCCTCCATTAGAAGACTAGCCCATCCACTTTCTTTGGTGATGGAATTGTTCTGGATCTGGAGACATAGTACAGCACCTTGCACACAGCTGACCTGGGTTTGATTCCCTGTAACCATATATGGTACCTGAGCACTGCCAGGAGTGATCCCTGAGCACAAAGAAGATGTTCTGCATCTCCTGTCCATACCTGCTAGAGGAGGCTACTGATTATGTGAAATGGGACTGAGTGTCACCAAAGAATAGTTTTCACGTTTTATTTTTATTTTTGATTTTTTGTCACACTCAGTGATGCACAGGGGTAGCTCCTGGCTCTGCACTCAGGAATTACTCCTGGAAGTGCTCAGGGGACCATATGGGATGCTGGGAATCGAACTTGGGTCAGCCGCGTGTAAGGCAAATACCCTACCCATTGTGCTATTGCTCCAGCCCAGTTTTCACTTTTTTTTTTTTTGCTTTTTGGGTCACACCCGGCAATGCACAGGGGTTACTCCTGGCTCTGAACTCAGGAATTACTCCTGGCAGTGCTCAGGGGACCATATGGGATGCTGGGAATCGAACCCAGGTCAGGCGCCTGCACAGCAAATGCCCTACCTGCTGTGCTATCGCTCCAGCCCCAGTTTTCACATTTTAAACTGTAATATTTTTTGTTTGTTTGTTTGGGGGTCCACACCCAGCAGTGCTCAGTGCTTACTCCTGGTTCTGCACTCAGGGTTCAATTCTGGAAGGCTTGGGGCACCATATGGGCTGCTGACGATCAAACCTACATTGGCCATGTGCAAAGTGAATGCCCAACCCACTGTACTATCACTCCGGCCCTTTTTAACTACAATTTTAATAGAAACATGTGGCTCTCACAGCTCTAAGACTGAGTTTTCTCTTATCCATGATGAAATGAAGCCCTTTGTGCTTGAGTGCTGTTTCAGAACCCTGAGAACTGAGGATAGTGTGGGGGACAAAATATTCCCCCCATGCCCCACTACATTTCTCCCTTAGTTTTATTCATTTATTTTGTACCCAGCTTCAACCCTTGGCTTCAGGATTCTTCTTGCAGTGTTTCCCAAGCCCTCTCCCAGTGGCCAGGACCAGCATGGTGGGTCAATGAAGAAAGAGAGTCACGGGATGCCTGTGTACTTGGCATGAGCACTTGAGCACTGATGCCTGTGGGCTTAGCCTCTGGTGACTTGTTTGCTTTGAGGCCCCAAACCCATGAAGACACCAATGGCTACCAGTAGCTTGAGCCTCTGTTCTCTCCTTCCCAGGGTAAAGGACCCAAAGCTGTCATCAGCATCAAGGACTTGAACGCCACCTTCCAGACAGAGAAGATTGGGAACCCCCACGGGCTGCAGATCACCTACAGAAGAGATGGTCACCTCCGGAACCTGTTCGTGTACCACGAGAACGGCAAGGTGAGAGGCCAGGCCAGCCCAGCTCACCTGTTTCCTAGACAGTGGCTGCTGCTGGCTTTCCTGGAGGGGCACTGGCAGGTGTGATGAAGGTCTGTAGAGGGCAGTGAGAGGACCCTGGCAGGGAGCCAGGCGGTTTCAGCAGCATGCACCATCAGGGACGGCCAGTAAACGGCAGGGCCTCATGTTGGGGGTGGCATGAGGCCAGGCAGTGCCCAAGATTCATGAGAGGAGGCAGGGGACAGGATCCAGCAGCACTGAGCCAGTGTTCCACTGCCCAGTGTGGGGCCCTGGACCTACCCTGTGGGTGTGGCCTGAGAACTCACCATTCTGGACCTCCTGAGTTAGATAGAAACTGTATTTTACAGCTGGAACAATCTACACTGGGAAGGATGCTTGTCTTGCTTGTGGCCAACCCGGGTTCAATCCCCAGAATCCCACATGGTTCCCTGAGCCATGCCAGGAGCGATCCCTGAGTACAAAGCCAGGAATAAGCCCTGAGCACCACCAAGTGTGACCCACACACCAAATAAGAAAGAAACTGAATTTTAGTAGGATCTCTAGGCACTCCTTATACACATTACCCGTGAGGAAGAGCCCTGCAGGAAGTCAGCCTGTCAGAGAAGGGCAGGTTTACAAAAGGTCTAATATCATGTTCAACCTATTGAGCTATCTCAATAGCTTTGAGCATCATTTCTTTAATTTTTTGTTTATTTGTTTTGGGGCCACACACAGCCATGCTAAGAATCATTTCTTAATTCTCAGAACACCCCAGGAGATGTTTTATCCCCCACCCATGTTATTGCTCTTGTTATGTACATTGCTAGCACAGCCAATAGTTCCCAAGTCCTCCATCATTTTATCATCCCTCGAGCCTCTTCAAGGGGGGGAGTCATAGCAGTAGGAGTTGGAACCAGAGGTGGGACTAGATCTTCCCAGTAAACCCTATATCGCTGGGAAATGGCCAGGGATGACCCCCAGCAGGCACCATGCAGGCACCATGCTTTCTCCATGGTTTCTGTGCAGAACTACTGGGGGATCACAGTGAGAGCTGGACATGGCCATGCCCTCCCAGATGGGTTTCAGGGACAGTCACTTCCCCATGGGTTCTTATACTCAGATCCCAGAGGTTTTGTTGTTATTGTTTGTTTTATTTTTTCTTTTTGGTGGGGGGGGGAGTTTATTTTATTTGGGGGTCACATTCACTGGTATTCAGGGCTTACTCCTGACTCTGTGCTCAAGGGAATCACTTCTGCTGTGTCTCAGAAACCCAATGGGATGCTGGGGATTGATTTTTTTTTATTTTTTAAGTTTTTGGCTTCTTTTGGTCATACCCGCGATGCTCAGGAGTTACTCCTGGCTCTGCACTCCGAAATTACTCCTGGCAGTACATGGGGGACCATATAGAATGCCAGGGATTGAACCCAGTTCATTTGCTTGCAAGATGAGTGCAGTTCTCAGGCAAACAGCCCTACCCACTGTACTATCACTCCGGCCCTGGTGCTGGGGATTGAATCAAGATCAGCTGTATGCAAGGCAAGCGCCCTACCTACTGTATTATCTCTCTGACCTCCCATAGAAGGTTTTAAGTGCTAAGGAATCCTGAATTATGAAATTGAAGACATTTCATTACATATGATGTACATTGCAAACATCAATTATGATTTGCCTATAACTGTGACTGATGTCAAGGACAATTCTTGGGCAATTCCACACCCTTGTTATTTATTCACTTGCTCATCCTGGATGCACTCTGAATGTGAATCCTCAATAATTCTGGGAACAGGTGGCTCTCCAGAGTTTCTTAACCAAGAGGGGTGAGCTGGGGAATAAAGTGCTGTATGATGGAGTGTAGGTTGTGGTGGGGTCCAGACAGGAGACTTGTGGTGTTGTCCAGGAAAGTTAGAAGATGGTTGAGGGATATACAAATTTGAGGGTCAGAGAGATAGTACCCACGCAACTGATCTGGGTTCAATCCCTGGCACTCTATGATCCACCGAGCACTGCTTGGAATAATTCCCAAGGGGAAGAATCAGGAATAACTCCTGAGCATCGGGAAGTATGACCCAAAAACCAGGAAAAAAAGAAAAAGAAAGAAAAAAGAAGAAAGAATTAACTGACTATGGTGGAAAATAGACATTAAATCATCTTAAAGGGGACCCGGGTTTGATCCCCGGCAACATATGGTCCCCTGAGCCCACCAGGACTGATTGTTGAGTGCAGAGTGAAGAATAAATTCTGACCATAGCTGGTCATGACCCCCCCCTAGATTTTTTTTCTGGGCCTCCTGAGAGATCAGACTCAAGACAGAGAGCATGATGTGTGTGGGGGCATTCATAGTGTTATGTGTGTACACACATGTATATGTCTGAGAAAGAGCACACATACACATATACTCTAATACAGGTACATTGTTCTATGGTACTGGGGACTCAAGGAAATCTCACACCTGTTCTTTTCTCTAAAGTCTCCGCATTGGCATGAAATCTCCTGTGGATCTTTTTTCCTGAAGCCTCCCTGACTGCAACTGACTTTGGGTCTTATGCAGCTGGAGGCGTGGAGGCCACCAGACCAGGCAGACTCTGGGATTGTCCCAACGTTGTAACTGGCGGGGCTCCTGTGGCCGCCCCTTGTGCCAGGAGTGCCCTGGTAGGGTTCCCATAGCCTCTAGCATGTACAATCACTGTCTCCCCTCCACTGTCCTGTTGTGGGGTACTAAGCACCTAAGTCTGGCCAGCTCTTTTCTTTAATGCCCAGCTGGGCATGAAGGGGTTCTGCAGAGATGCGTGGCAGGAGCCAGGCAGGTGATTGGAAAGTGCAGGGTCAGCTCTAAGGCAAATAAGCCAGCCTGTGTGGGAGGCTGAGACTTATGAATCAAACTTTAGGGGCTGAACAAACCTGTATGCAGGCTGGATTTGGCCTCGGACTCCTTAGTTTATGGCTCAAGAGACGATGTTTGTTTGTGGGCCACACCCAGTGATGCTCAGGGGTTACTCCTATGCTGCACTCTCTGGTGGTGCATGGGGGAGCATAGGGGATGCCAGTGATTGAACGATTGAACTCAGTTGGCCGAGTGTAAGCCAACTGCCTTACCTGCTGTACTATCTCCAGCCCCAGGCCCAAGAGACTTTCTAAAGTGAAAACTGGGACTGATCTTTAGTGACTCAGTTCCTTTAGTGCTGGAGACCCCAGAAGGTTTTTTTTTAATTTTTTAATTATTTATTTTTAATTAAAAAGATTTTAATTGAAGGGCCAGAGCAATAATCCAGTGAGTAGGGTGTTTGCCTTGCACACAGCCCAGCCTGGTTTGATCCCCGGCATCCAATATGGTCCCCTGATCACTGCCAGGAGTAATTCCTGAGTACAGAGCCAGGAGCAAACCCAGAGCATCGCTGGTTGTGACCCAAAAAGCAAAAAAAAAAAATTATTTTTTAGATTGAATCATGGTCAGATATAAAGTTATCTATGATTGGGTTTCAGCATATAATGTCCCAACACCCATCCCTTTACCAGTGTACATTTCCCACCACGGATGTCCCCAGTCTCCATCCTGCCAGCTCCTCACCCCAGCCCGCCTCAATGGCAGACACTTTTCTTTTCTCCCTCTCCTGCTCTGTCTCTCTTTCTTTTGGGGCATTATGGTTTGTAACACAGGAACTGGAAGATTTTCACATATGTCCCTTTACCTCCTCTCAGCACTCAGGTCTTGTTCAGAGCGATCATTTCCAACTATCATTGTCATAGACGTCTCTTCTCTGCCCTAACTCCCCTCTCTCTGTCTCCTCCCCCGCCCTCCCTACACTTCTGGCAAGCTTTCAATCATAGACCAGTCCTCCTAGTCCTCATTTCTACTGTCCTTGGGCATTAGACTCAGATTACTTTTTCATATCCCACAAATGGGTGTGATCATTCTATGTCTCTCCCTCTCCCACTGACTCATTTCACTCACCATGATGCTCTCCATGCCCATCCATATCTAAGAAATTTTATGATTTCATTTTTCGTAGCAGCTGCATAGTATTCCATTGTGTAGATGTACCAGTTTCTTTATCCATTCATCTATTCTCGGGGACTTGGGTTGTTTTCCAGATTCTGGCTATTGTGAATTGTGCTGCAATGAACATCGGAGTGCAGATGCCTTTACTGGATTGTGTTTGGGGGCCCCTAGATTATATTTCCAGCATCCCAGTCTTGCTGAGTCGGATGGGAGCTCAATTTCTGGTTTCTTCAGGAATGAGTGCCAACTGTACCGACCCCAGAAGGTTTTAACTCCCAGGACAAGATTGCTGAGAACTCCTGAGAGGAGTTTGAGGCCTGCATAAGGGCAATTATGTTTCACTTTTTTGAAACTATAAGCAAAGGAATTTCCCAATCACAGCAGAGTGTCACAATGCAGCTATCTGAGCAGGTCTTTCTGCCTCTAGTTGCCAAATTCTTTTTTTTTTTTTTTAATGAATCACCGTGAGGTACAATTACAGACTCACAAACTTTCGTGCTTAGGCTTCAGTCATACAGTGATCGAGTACCCATCCCTCCACCAGTGCCCATTTTCCACCACCAATGTTACCATGATCCTTCCTCTGTGTCAGGCACATTCCCTTTTACTCTCTCTCTTCTTTAGGATATTATAGTTCGCAATATGGGTACTAAGTGGCCATCATGTTCAGTCCATAGTCTACTTTCAGCATGCATCTCCCATCCCAAGTGGGCCCTCCAAGCACCCCATTCTTGATGATCCCTTCTCTATCTGAGCTGCCTTTCCCCCCAGCATGTGAGGCCGTGGATGTCAAATTCTTAAGGGAGAGAAATAACTGGAGTTCAGACTCTGTGGTCAAGAGGAGGCATGGCTGCCAGTGTGACTGCAGTTCCGGGTGGCGGGTGGAAAGGTTTGAGTCGGTGGGGCAGCTCTCCTAGAAGCAGGTTTGAGCTTCATCCCTCTCCCCCCGACCCAAATCCACTATCACAATCTAAGCTGTCCTTGGTGTGCTGGGCGTGTGTGCCCACTAGCTTCCTGACACCAGGCTGGGCTGCCCTGGGTCTCACGGTCCATCTGCTTGCCCCCCACCTTCTCTGCAGGAGATAGTGGACTGGTTCAATGCCCTCCGTGCAGCTCGCCTACAGTACCTGAAGGGAGCCTTTCCTGAGCTCCCCGAGTCTGAGGTGAGTTAAGTGTGGACCCCAACTTCCAAGTCTCGCCTTCCTGTTCCATCCGCCTCTCCCTGAGTGCCGACCTTGAAGATGTTCAGGGGCCAGGCTAGGCTGCTTTGCAGGACAGACCTTGAGACATGGGGCTGGATACTTCAAGGAGAAAAGGAAAGTTTTCTTCTGGGGGTTTAGGGACTAGAGCTCCCCCAGAGGGCAAGGCGGTAGGTGGGGTGCTCTCCACGAGCCTTCCACTTCTCAGAGGATCTGCCGCCATCAATGTGCTGAGGGTCCAGACCTCTCTACTCTTGTTTTTATCCTTTTGGTTTGGGGGCCACTCCTGGCAGTGCTCAAGGCTCATTCTTGTCTCTGCATCACCTCTCTTAGCATCTGGTTAAACATCTGCCTGGTGGCAGTTGGAAGGGGCTTTCCACAGGGTCTTCCTAGCTCCTCTCTAAGATAGTGTTCCAGATGATGGAGGTGGCGAAAATGAATGGGGCTGAACCGATATAGTACAGTGGATAGGGCTCTTGCTTCTGCACGGCTGACCCAGGTTCGATCCCTGGCATCCCATATGATCTCACGAGCACTTCCAGGAGTAATTCCTGAATGAAGCACTGCCCAGCCTGGTTGGATTAACCTCTGAGCACTTGCAGGTGTGCGAAGCACTCCCTCCCCCATTCCAAGACCCCATAAATCCTGGAAAGTTCTTCTTCCAAACCATTAGGTCCTCCTTTGAGATCCTAACTGCTGTGTCATTCCAAGTTTGGAAGGTCTGGAATCTATAGCATTCTGTTTTGGGGCATGGGAGGTGGTGTTTGAGCCACACCCAGTGATGCTCGGGCCTTCCTCTTGGCTCTGGCTCTGCAGTCAGGGATCACCCCTGGAGAGTCTCATGAGGATGCCAGGGATTGAACCTTGGTCATCTGCATGCAAGACAATCCCCCTACCTGCTGTAGTATCACTCTGACCCTTCTAGAGCATTCTAGAAAGATCAAGGAGCTAAGTGTCAGGAGTGGGCTCCACTCCAAGCCCAACTCTGCCCCGATGGCCACTCTGTGGCTCAGGGCCCTCAGAGCTGCCGAGTCAGCGCCCAGCACTGGGGAAGCACTGGAGTGGGGGTGGGGGCGGGGGCAGGCGCTGCCCATAACAGGAGGACAAAGTGCAAACGCTCCGCCTTATGTATCTGGGCTGCTTCTCCAACTCTGCTGACCCGGGCAGAAGAGAGAATAGTTTGGTTTCTGGCCAGTGTCCTCTGTGTCCTCTTACCCCTCCCTCATCCTCCATAGTCACCGTTACCGCACCCCTCCTCTCCTCCTCCCCTCTCTTCTCCCCTTGGACTTTCCTCCCGACCCCCTCCACCCTGTACTGTGTCTAATGCAAATAACATGTGACGTTCTGGATAATTGCTCAGGCCTAGCTCAGACATCGAGATCCAGAAACCAGGCCGGAGAGTTAGCTCCATGCTACAGTGTGCATGTTCTGTGCATCTGAGGTTCTAAGTTCGATCCCTGTCACCTTAAACATCGGTTCACAGAAATAATAAAGCAGGGGCCGGAGCAATAGTACAGCAGGTACAGCATTGGCCTTGCACGTGACTGACCCAGGTTTGATCCTCAGCATTTCATATGATTCTCCAAGCACTGAGATGGGGGGTGGGGGGTGGGGGCGGGCAGAGAGGGGCGCGGGGAGGGGTGGTAATTCCTGAGTGCAGAGCCAGGAGTGAGTCCTGAACATCACCAGGTGTAACCCAAAAAGCTAATAAATAAATAAAAAGTAGACCTCATTCTCGTGATCCAGTGGTAGAAGTGCTACCTGTGTTCATCAGCCTACGTGCCACTTTACATCCTCACCTGACCAGCAAGATGCCTGGGACAATCCAACCAGGCCTTGGACCTCTTTTCTTTTCTTTTCTTTTCCTTTCTTCCTTCCTTTTTTTTGGCTGTTGTTGTTGGGTCACCCATTTATGCTCAGGGCTTACTTCTGGCTCTGCATTCCGGGATCACTCCTGGTGGGCTCAGGGAGACCGTATTTGGTGCTGGGGATTGAACCTGTGTCAGTCGCATTCAAGGCAAGTGCCCTCCCCGATGTGCTATGGCTCTTTGTGGGTGGCGACACCCACCTCACAGCGGGGTCTAGCATTGTACCCAGCGCTGGGGACCAGTGTCAGCAGCAAAGCACATGTCTGGCACGCATGAGAGATCTAGGTTCCACTCCTGGCACCACAGAAATCAAACAAGAACTGCCTGGGTCATAGGAGACCCGCAGACCTACCCGCAGACCTGCCCCTGGATGCTAGCAGGGCCCTGGGGGGGCCTCTCCTACATCCTCTTCCCAAGGCTCCTGAAGGCGTCCTTGTGCCGAGTCCTTCAGCATGATGAGGCCAGCCGGGCAACCTGCACAAACAGCTGGGATGCTGTCAGCTGGCTCTGTTGAAATCCGAGTGTTGTGCCCAGACCACATCCACATATAACCCCGTGCACACATCCTTCCCCATTCCACACTTCCTCTTTGCTGGGGACCCGGGGAAGTGGGGGAGCCTCGAGTTCCTAGGCTGTGCATCAGCGGGTCCGCCTGTGTCTCTCTCCTCCAGCTCGCGCCCCTCATCACCTGGAACTACCTCAAACAAGGCTTCATGGAAAAGACGGGCCCAAAGGTACTTTCTACCATTCCATGGGACGTGAAGGGCCCTGGCCCAGTGGGCAGGTGGGGGCGGAGGCAGGGGAGGCACAAAATGGGGATCTGGGGGCAGGAAGGGAAGTAAACCACTGTGTGAGATTTCCTGGGGTGACTGAAGGGCCAAGGGCCTGGTTGGTTGGGGTGCGGCTACCCAGTGTATGCCTTTGGGTAGACCTCATAATTATCACCATTGGCTTCTCTCCCCCTCGCCGCCTCTAATGACCCCTGTCCTGGGAAAGAAACAAGGGACACCGTGAGGGACTGTGGCTCTGTCCAGAACCTTTATGTACCAGTTCTGGCCGTCTCCCAGGCCTGACCAAGTGACATGGGGCCTTCAGATTGGTCTGAGGAAGCACAATTTCCATCCATGTTGGGGTGCCAGGAAGGCTGTTTTCTTGACCCCCAGGGATGGTCCCCAGGGGCAGGAGCTCCGGGGAACTGCAGGGAGACACATCTCAAATCCAGCCTGGCTGAAAGGTTCAGGGCAGGCTCTGGGGAGACCGTGCAGCCATTGTGAGGGAAGGCAGCAGGGAGGGAGAAGAAGGGAAGAGGGAACAGCATCCTGGTGTATTCCTTTTCTCTTTAGCCAGGGTACTCACTGGGGACCCTCTCAGCCACAGTGCTCCCTGAGTCCTCACTCCTCTAGTTGTGCTCACAGTCTTTGTTGAAGCACACAAATCATGGTGCTTGCCAGGTATTTCTGTGGAGCAGGGACACCTTGCTGGTTAGGGTGCTCACCCACCTTGATTTGGTAGCTGCACACATCTGACTGCAGTATGGATCGTAATAGCAGAGCTGCTAGGGTCACACTCAATCCACTTGGGGCACCAGGAGTTTGAACTCATGTCCGTGTGTTTGCCAGGCAGGTGCTCTGAGCCACTCCAGCCAGTGTGTGAGGGTGTGTGTGTGTGTGTGTGTGTGTGTGTGTGTGTGTGTGTGTGTCAGGTTTGAACCCTGGTATCCCATATGGTCCCAGGAATAACCCCTGAGCATTTCCAGGTGTGGCCCGAAAACCAAAAAAAGAAACGTTTTAGGTATCAGTGTGAAAAGGAGCCTTCGGAGGTTGAATGGGGGCAGAGGGTCGCATGTGTTTTTCCTTCCTTCATCTCCCCTAGCTCCTGCCCCCGAAACTTTCTTTCCCCTGACCTCGGTTACAATCTGGCCAAGGCTGCATTGTCAGCATCACCGTGCAGTAGCCACTTCCGATTTCCCCAGCTTCCTTCTTCTGAGCCCTCTGGTCTCAGCCTGAGAGAGAAGAGTGAGTCTGCCAAGCCAGAGCCTCACCTGCAGGCCGGCGACGGGTGGGCAGATGGGCAGAGCCTGGGAAGTTCGGCGGCCTCAGGGAAAGTGCAGGAGTGTCTGACGGTGAAGTGGCACTGGCCCATGCCAGGCTGGGCCTCTAACCACTGGGGAGCCCAGCCTTGCTGACCTGGATAAGAGGATCTGTTTTTTTGCAGCAGAGAGAGCCTTTCAAGAAAAGGTGGTTTGCCTTGGACCCCCAGGAGCGCAGGCTAATCTATTACAAGCACCCACTGGTAAGACACTGCCAACTCCTCCTTTGGGTCTCCCCACAGATGGGGGGATGGGTGAGGGTCCCTGCTGGTCAGCTTCAGGGGCGAGGCCTGGTGGAAGACACGCTCCCCTCTGTTGTCTGCGTCATCTCTGTGGGGGCAGCCGTTCTGTCCCTCATGCTCGGGGAGCCCTTGGTGTTAGTCCACCATGCCATGGTTGCATCTGGGTGTAGGTCCCCACGGCTCCCTTTTGAGAAGGGCGGGAATGGGGACAACTGTGAAGCACAGTAGATGGGGGCGTGGAACTGGGCTCTCTGGGTCCCAGAGGCTTCCCCTGGAGGAGGGCTGAGCATGCCTCAGTTTCCTCTGAAAAACCTGATAATGCATGAAATGACTCCCCAAGGCACCCCCGAGTCACTGAGGCACAGTGAGCACGCCCCAAACATTAAGTGTTGTTCGAACGAAGGATGTGGAGGATTTATATGACCACTTGCACTTTGCAAGTCTGGGGTCCCACCTAGGTGGAATCCCCACCAGAGATTCCCCCCTGCCCTTTCCCGTCGATGACACTCCAGACAGCAGAGCCCGGGGAGTACCCTCTGCCCCAGGGCAGGCTTCGATGACCACGTATCCTTTCTCTCCAGGATGCCTTTGAGCAGGGCCAGGTGTTTCTGGGCAGCAAGGAGCAGGGGTACGAGGTGCATGAGGATCTGCCCAAGGGCGTGCGGGGGAACCGCTGGAAAGCCGGCCTCACCGTGATCACCCCCGAGCGCAGATTCGTCCTCACTTGCCCCAGCGAGAAGGAGCAGCGGGAGTGGCTGGAGAGTTTCCGGGATGTCCTGGCCCGCCCCCTGACACCCCTCAACCTCCTCAGTAAGATGCTGGGTCGAGGGTGGCCGCATGTGCTAGGGCAGGAGGGGCTACTGGGGGCTATCTGGGGGGGCTGCACAGCACCTGCGCTAGGTCATGGCTCCTGATGGCCTTTTCCATTTCTTCTCCTGCTGCCAAAGGAAAGAGCAAATTGTGCCCAGCAATGCCTGTGGGCCCTCCCTGAGTTTGGGGATGAGACAGGGAGCCGTTCCCCATCAGCATCTGCGGAGGCTTGGCCCTGAGGAACATGGTCTCAGCTCAGCCCAGAGGCCAAGCAGCCCAGTTCTCTTTTCTCGTGAGAAAACCCTGGCTTGTTATTCTTAGCTCTGAGGGCTCCTGCCGGGCAGTGCCTGGGAGTTGGGTTCCACCCACTCCCACTGGGAAGGATATTTTTAGCATCCTTTTCCCTTATCCCATCCGTCCCCTCTCTCCTGCTTCTCCTCCCCTTACCCATCTGCTGATAACCCCGCGGGGAAAGAAAAGTCGAGGGTTGGAGAATGCCCTTTGGAGCTTGAGCTGGACACTTGTAATTTCTGGGGTTCAGGGAGAAGTTCTGTGTCGGGTATAGAGTAGAGATTAAGGGCCGGGGAGGGAGCCTAATGGGAGGGAAGGCAGCCTTCACATGTGGGATGCCTGGCTTTGAGTCCCAGAACTGCCTAGCTACTGCCCTGAGCACAGTGCTGGGAGTAACCTCTAAGCACCACCAGCTGTATCCCAGAAACAAACCAGTAGACACTGAGTAGGTGGCCACATGGGAGAAATACCCAGGCCTTTGGCGTCTGACCTTTCCAAACTCCCCACGCTAATACAGAGCCTTGGAAACATGTTTGCTGGAGAAGCTCGTTGCTTTGTTTTCTCTGGTCCTGGCTGGCTGAGTCTTGTTTTCTCCTGGTCCGCGCGTCCAGCTAGCACTGCCCTTCCCTTCTGTTACTCTGTTATCTTCCTGGTGCCCTCGGTCACTGTGTGTGCATAGCCACCCCTCAGTTTTCCCTTTGTCCCCTGCAGCAGCGTCCACAGATGGTGCCAGCCACAGCAGGTGACCCATTGAGGCTTGTGCTGGCCACTGGCCACCTGGAGCTCCAGTGGGGAGGAAGAATTCTCGCCTCGACCCTAGTGTCCCTGCAGGAGTGCCCTGCTGTGGGCAGCCAGCGCTGACAGTGAGTCTGCAGAGACTGAGGATTATGCCTTTACCTGCTGGTTCCTGGGGCCTCTTGACTGTCCTGCATTGGAGGTCAAGGGTCTAGGAACTGTCCTCAGGACTGCTGAAGTAAAGGCACTGCAATGAAAAGGAGCAGCAATGGCATCGCACAAGTGGGATGTTGCTCCAAAGCAATAAAGATTTTAATCAGGATCATGAAGAGAGACCGTGACGAAAGAATTGGACAAAAGCATGTTTGGGATTCTCTGCAAAACAGCTGGGCCAGATTCTAAAAATGAAAGATAAAGTAGGCTCCCCCAAGAAAGGGCATAACAACCGAATACAATCCATACTTCTTGAATGGATCCTGAACGACATAGTAATATTGAGATAAAGAACATATTTAGGGGCTGGAGCGATTAGCACAACAGGCAGGGTGTTTACCTTGCACTTGGCCAACCCAGATTCAATTCCCAGCATCCCATATGGTCCCTCAAGCACCACTGGAGTAATTCCTGAGTGCATGAGCCAGGAGTAACCCCTGTGCATCACCAGGTGTTACCCAAAAAGCAAAAAAACAAAACAAAACAAAAAAAACATTATTAAAATCAATAGCTGGGGGCTGGAGTGATAGTTCAGCAGGTAGGGCCCTGGTTTTGATCTCTGGCACTGCATAAGGTACCCAGACTACCACCAGGAGTGACCCCTGAGCGCAGAGCATGGGTAAGCCCTGAGCATTGGGTATGGCTCCAAAAAACAAAATAAAATACATAGTAGGGGAAATCTGAATATGGATGTATATTAGCTAAAAGTCTAAGATAATCATACTTCTGTATTTGTAGAGGAGAATGTCTGAGGGGGTAAAATGTAATATCTACAGCTGACTTATGTAGTTCAGCAAAAATAAGTGTCTGTGTACATACATATGTAAAAAGTATATACTTGTATCTCTAATGTGAATGTATACAGAGCGCAAGAGAAAACGGGCCTTTGTGCAAATGTCAGCAACTAACGAGTGCAGATGAAGTATAGATGGTCTTTCCGGTTCTATTTGTGCACATTTTCTATAAATGTAAAAGTTTTCAAATTAAAAGTTGGGGAAAATCTTTTACATAACCTCTACTTTTCACTCTTTATTTTATTTTATTTTTTTGCTTTTTGGGTCACACCCAGCAATGCTCAGGGGTTCCTCCTGGCTTTGCACTCAGGAATTACTCCTGGCACTGCTTGGGGACCATATGGAATGCTGGGGATCGAACCCGGATTGGCCGCGTGCAAGGCAAACGTCCTACCCGCTGTGCTATCACTCCGGCCCCATACTTTTCACTCTTTAAATATGGTTTATCTACATGCATCCAAAAGATTGCTAGAGGGACTGAGGCAATAGTACAGTGGGTAGGGCGTTTGCCTTGCATGTGGCCAATTCAGGTTTGACCCCAGCATCCCATATGGTCTCCCAGACACTGACAGGACTAATTCCTAAGTGCAGAACCAAGAGTAATCCCTGAGCATCTCTGGGTGTGACCCAAAAAGCAAAAACAAAACAAAAACAAACCAAAAACCCAAATGGTTCCTGGAGGCATTCCATCATTGTAAACATTTCAGATTCATCAAAGTCTGACTAATAAAAACAACAAAACAAACCAACAAATCAGACCCTATTGTCTGCATATCCCTGTGCCCTAGAAGGAGAAAAACTGAGGATAATACTTCCTCAGACCCCAGGGCTGACAAGTACCCAGCCCATGTGCCAGGGGCTACTTTGCCATAAACCAGAAATCTAGGAAAACTGTACAGTGGGCAAGGCACTTGCCTTGGATGTAGCTGAACCAGGTTCGATCCCTGGCACCCTATATTGCATCCTATATGACCACTGCCAGGAGTTCTTACTGAGCACAGAGCCAGGAGTAACCTCTGAGTGCTGCCTTGTGTGCCCCAAAAACCAAAAGACCAAACCAAACAAATCGCAAATGAGAACCTTGTAGACAGGGGGAGATAGCTCAGTGGTACCTCACAGCATCACCACTCCTTCACCCGCTCCCATACTAGGATGAGGAAGTTGAGTCTAACTGCTGAAATTCAACGGAGGCCACAAGGGTCTTGAGCACCTACCAGGTGTCATCTTTGTGCCCAACTCTGGGAATAGTCTGGAATCACAAGATCTGGTTCCTGCTGTCAGAGATGACAGTGTCAAGGCCTCAGCGGCCTCAGAGGCAGTGTGAGACAATGAGGTGAGTGTTCGGAAAGGGGAAGTCCAGGCTGCTGTGGGAGTGTGAGGTAACAGGGCTGCACTGAATGCGCGAGGGAAGCCTCCTTTGTTTGCAGAAAGACTGAGGAAGGGGGCTGGGGTTTACCAGTGTAAGAGCATGAGAGAGAGACAGACAAACAGATACACACAAAGGGAACAGGATAAAGGAAACAGGAGACAGTATACTGAGGGAAGAAGACATTTAAAGGCCCCAGAATGGGAACTTTGATGGGAGAGAAGGTTGGAAGGAGGAACTGAAGAAGATCTCCAATGGCTGAAGTGTTAGAGATTCAGAATATTCAGACCTTTGTCCTGATTCTTTGTCTCCTCAGTGATGTGTGGGAGGAAGTTGGGTGTTTTTATTTTTCTGGGAAGCATTGAGAAATTGGGTGTTTTCTCTTGATTTTTCTAGGAAGCAGAGAGGGAGTCAACTTTTTATGGCTTGCTTCCTTCAGAGGACAAGCAATGCCACTGGACATCATTTTTTTTTTCTTTTTGGGTCACACCTGTGTTATTGCTCCAGCCCCAGGAAATCATTCTTTCTTTCTGCTTTTTCTGTTTTCCTTTGTGGGGAGGAGTGGGTTTGGGCCACACCCAGGCATGCTCAGGGCTCTGTGCTCAGGGACCATTTCTGGTGGTGCTCTGGGAACCCTCATTGATGCCAGGAAATCAAACCCTAGTTCAACCAAGTGCAAGGCGAGTACCTTATCCTCTGGATGATGTCTCCGTCCCCATGTGGGCATCTTCCTTGAAGCTGATCTGCTCAGGAGACATGAGCACATCCTCCTCAGCTGCCCAGAGCACCTGGGGAAGATCCAGATCAAGCAGTCTTAGTTGCATATTTAGGGTCAGTTGATTTGTTTGTCTTTTTTTAAAAAAATAAAAAAACACATGTGAGCTCTGTTTGCTGTGCTCTGCTAAGTGCTGGGAATGAGAAGGTCAATAAAAGCATAGTTCCACCCCTAAGAAATTTGTAGACTAGAGGGGAAGAAAAATAACTGGAAAAAATAATTGGCAGTGAGTAAATAGCTACCTTAGGAGTGAAACAGGGATGTTCACTCCTCATGAAAAGGGGTGAAAGGAAGGTAGGAATCCCTCAAAGGGACCAAGTAAGGACCCCAGAGACACATGCCTCAGGCGTGGCCCTGGGTTTGATCCCTGGCACCATGAATTCAGAGCAAACAGACCAGGGCTAGAGAGACAGAACAAGGATTAAAGGGCTTGTCTTGCCTTGGACCCATCCAAGCTCAATCCACGGCACCCCACTTGGTCCCCCTAGCTCTGCCAGGAGCGATCCCTGAGTGCAGAGCCAGGAGTAAGCCCTGAGCACAGTACCCCCCCCCCCCCCCACTGCCAACACAGCTCTAATTTATGCATCATCAGAGTTCCAGGAAAAGAAGAAAAACTGCAGACAAAAATGTATTAGAAAACATATTGAAACCTTTCTAAGTTTGGTGAAGACGGGCAGAGAGTCAGGAAACTCAGTAACTGTGAAGGTGGATTAATATAAAGAAACCCACACCAAGTGGTTATTTTCAATCCGTTGCAAATCCAAGATAAAGATACTGAAAGCAGCCAGAGGGAAAGGATACATTGCACACAAGGGAATATTGTTTCTCCTGGGAAACAAGGAAAGAATGATAGCTTTGAAGTGCTGGGAATGTGGCTGAGGGTTGGAGCACATGCCTCACGTGCTTAAGTGTGAAAGGACAGAAAAAAGACCTCTAGAGGAAAATCACTTTCAAAAATAAAGATAGCATATGCAATAAAGATAGTTAATATGCGATAAATAAACAGAAGCATCAAACAAGGAATAGAAGCAAGTTGCCACTGAATTATATCATTAAAATGTCAAATTTTTGTTTATGTATATATGTTTTGCTTTGCTGTTTTTTGCCCACATCTGGGGTGGTCTGGGGCTAATCCCAGCTCCATGCTGGGGGACTCTGTGGTGCCGGGATGGGACCTTGGCCTCTTGCAGACAAAGCAAGCACTTAGTCTGTTGTCTCTCTGGTGTTTTAATTTTACCACAATAAAAAAACACCCAAAAAGGAGGTTTTGTTCAAGGCAACAATATTTCCAGATAAACAAAGATTATCAGTCTTGCTGCAGAACTGCAATATTAAGAAATGCCTTGTAGCTGGGGCCAGAGCAATAATATAGCGTATAGCGGATAGGTCACTTGCCTTGCATGTGACCAACACAGGTTTGATCCTCGCTTTCCAAATGGTCTCACAAAAACCACCAGGAGTGATCCCTGAGTACAGAGAGAATTAAGCCCTGAGCATTGCTGGGTGTCCCCCCACCAAAACAAACAAACAAACAAACAAACAATAAAAAACCTAAATGGGGGCCAGGGATGTAGCTCAGAAAAGAAAACAAAGTTATGCTAAACAAAGTTCTTTGGGGTAAAGAGAAATTACTCCAGGTATGAAGTCTAATCTGACCTTTGGGAACAAGGAAATGTAATAGTGAGCATAAGCATATAAGTAAATATAGAAGACTATTTTACTCTTAACTTATTGGGGCCGGTGTGATAGTTCAGTGGGTAGGGCATTTGCCATGCACATGACCGACCTGGGTTCAATCCCCAGCACCTGAGATGGTCCCCTGAGCACCACCAGGAATAATTCCTGAGTGCAGAGTCAGGAGTAAGCTGAGCATCACCAAGTGTGACTTAAAAAAGAAAAAAAAATTTAATTAAGGGACCAGAGCAATAGAGCAGCAGTAAGGTGTTTGCCTTGCACATGGCTGACTGGCTTCAATCCCCGGCATCCCATATAGCTCCCTGAGCACCTCCAGGAGTGATTCCTGAGTGCAGAGCCAGGACTGATCCTTAAGCACCACCAGATGTGACTCAAAAACCAAAACAAAAAAAATTTTGATTAAGTAACTAATTTTTGTGTTGTTGGAGCTCAAACTCAGGGCGTTGATTGTGCAAGGCAAGTGCTCTGCCACTGAACTACAACTATTTTAAAACAAGAATTACATGTAGTTGTAATTTATAGCATAGTAATTGACTCACCTAGACAAAGGCAGGAAAAGAAGGACAAATTAATAAAAAAAATAATAATATGGGGGAGGGGCTAGAGAGATGGTGCATTGGGTAGGGCACTTACCTAGCTTGTTGCTAACTTGATCCTTAGCACCACATGTGGTCTCCTGAGCCCCACAAGGAGTGACCC